ATTTTACCAACTAACGTGTTATATTGTTACTATAACCGTTTTTAACATTGAAGAATGACGTTATAACAGCTTGAATTGGAATCTAATGAACACAAAGAAAACAGTATTTTATCATCCTTCATATTTATTGTTTCACCGTCGTCCTGCATTCATGCGTCCCAAATTTGAGTGTCTCTCGTCGTAACACAAGGCAATTGGCTCGCTGTTGCTGCTCCCTAGCGGTATAGGAGGGTACTACATGATTACTTTCTGGGCGAAAGACCGCACAGGCATAAAAATTGGATATTTTCCCGCGGCACACCTGACAATGTCTCGCGGCACACATTGATGAGGCGTTTTGATGAAAAAAAACGACCATGTATCGTAAGTCATTTTTCGCCGAAAAAAACGACCATGTATAGTAAGGAGATTTTAGCCGAAAAAAACGACCACGTATATATAGTAAGGCGTTTTTAGCCGAAAAAAATGACCATGTATAGTAAAGCGTTTTTAGCCGTAAAAAAATGACCATGTATATGAAGGCGTTTTTAGACGAAAAAAACGACCACGTATAGTAAGGCGTTTTTAGACGAAAAAAACGACCATGTATAGAAAGGCGTTTTGAGCCGAAAATAACGACCATGTATCGAAAGGCGTTTTGAGCCGAAAATAACGACCATGTATAGTAAGGCGTTTTGAGCTGAAAAAAAACGACCATGTATCGTAAGGCGTTTTGAGCCGAAAAAAACGACCATGTATAGCATGGGTGTCAAACTCATTTCACATTGTGGGCTACATCGGGCCTCTGTAGATGTCAAGTGGGCCGGACCATTAAACATTATACCATACTCTGCTATAAAAAACCAAAATAATATGTCTTTCCTTTGTTTTGGTCTAAAGATGCACAAGAACACTCGGAAAATGTTGAAATTAAATCAACATATCTTTTACAAAACATTTCATGAAGCACCTAAGATTTCCTTCGACAAATGTGCAATTTACTTTCATCATTCACATACAGTCAAACCTCGGTTTTCGAACGTCTCGGTTCTCATCCAATTCGGTTTTCGACCAAAAATTTTAGTTTTTTATGTCTCGGATGACAAACAAATTTTGGTTCTCGAACAAACTGGGCACTTGAATGCACCATTTTACCCCTCTCGCCTTCCTTACACGAGGAAGTGACGCTTCCTCATGTTGCTTTCCATTGTGAGCAGACATGTTCAATAAACATTTTCATTTTAAAAAGAGCATGGTTTCGGTTTTCAAACAATTCGGTTTTCGAACAGCCTTCTGGAACGGATTATGGATGAAAACCGAGGTTTGACTGTAATACAAAACAACACATAAGACACAGACAGTTGTGCAATCTTAACCACATTTCCTTCATACGCTTTCTTGTTTGATGAAAAATATAGTAATGCACTTTTAAGATTAAACGAGATTTATCAAGAAAGGAATTTTTAAACCATTTACACGAGCATATAAAATCTAAATGTAATCCCTGCCTACACCTTACAAACTAAGGAGAGTGTATGTGTAAAGGATAAAGTATTCACATGTCCTTGATCGCGTCTGCTGTGTTGGGTCTGTCACAGTTACAGACTGAGGCTGCTGTTGTCTTCTTCTCTGATCAAAACAATGTTGTCGTTTCCTCTGATCAAAACACTGTGTCCCCCTAGCGGATATTCCATGAATTGCACTTTATTAAAAATATTCATTCCGTGTCTTTTATGCATTTTTTCACTTTTAAATTATCCTACGGGTCTGATCAAAACTCCTTGCGGGATGGTTTCGGCCCGCGGGCCGTATGTTTGACACCACTGTTCTTGGCGATCGTGAATAAAGTGCAAATAAAACACCCATTACGCACGCGACCAAAACGTGCAAGCCAACTTTATTTATTGTTCCAAGATGCTTTGTTGATCAGGGCAACTCCGCTGGAATAGTTGAGACGCAAGTCTCGTCTGGATGCTTGCGGGGTGCTCTCTGCTGGTCCGAACGGGGCCGGGAGCTGAAGAACCTGCAAAACCTAAAGGATCGCGGTGAAATCAAACTTCGTTTCAGATTGGGGAGGAAACATCGGATGACTTTCTGAGGGCCCCGATAACTGTTTCCCCTCAAAGTATTCAATGTATATCGATCAACATGTCAGATACATTTCGGTCTCAAACTCCAGCAGAGGGCCCGCCATTGGCAAGGGGAAACAATAAACCAGATTTCGCTTTCCAATGTCAGCTAACAGCAGTAAGAGTCATTGTAAAATTCGACCACAAACTCAAGAGGCTCGCGCCGGACATCGACGGTGTTGACAAGGTCTTTACGAAACGTAAGGGCGCAGTCTACTGGTGACCAATAGGAATGACGAACCTTCGACTGAAGGTGAAGTGGCTCTCAACTTTACAAGTACAGTCCCACCGAAAAAATACAACTCTCTGGGTATCTTTATCAGGTGCTGTCTCACCATGTTGGTCTTTGTCGTTGTGTTTATGATCCTCTGGACGAGTTGGAACTGGAAAAGTCAATTCCTTGGTCTGTCTGTAGCTGCGCAGACGTGACGCAGCATGTGCTCCGCGTGCACTCAGTGCAGCCCCTACCAAGCCCCTCGCCCCTCCCCTTTCTCTTCTGGTCTCCCTCTCTGAGCACGGCAGCTGAGCCACTGCCAAACCTCGCTTCAGACACGTGGAAAAAGAGAGTCTCGAAGCTTTACGGGCCTGGCCTCGCACTGCTCCGTGTCATACAATTCATGCTGTCCAGGGCATATTTCTCGAAACAGGATCTGTTCTTGACAAACCAAGCTATGGGCTGCTACTACCCAAAACACCCAACTCCCATAGTAGGTGTTTCAGCAAAGCCAGACACATTCCATCTGGAGATCTGCCCTGGACTAAAAGATCATTCCAGCTGATGCTTCCGAGAGTCATAAAGCTTAACACTTCACACTGACTTCAGGATGTTCAAAGGCCAAGCAACATGGATATTGTAAATTGTACTATGCGTTGGAGTGGTGTGACTTCCACAAATTTCTTAAAATGGTACGTACACCAGTGGAGAGAAAGGGGGCCAAGAGGAGGGGGCCTGATAACACTATGGATGCAAATCTACATTCATAGACCATTGTTATATGTTATCAGTATATTTCCTACAGTGATGATTGTATTTCCTAATTATAACAATCTAAACCATATCTACACACACATAGCATTTTATGAAGAAAATATGCATTTTCTAAATGCATAAATCTAATATGGAACAAAGCTAAGGTTAGCATGATAGCTTGGCCCTCGGTAAGTGTCGCAGTTTCTCTCATGGCTCCTTTGCAAAATTAAATTGCCACTCTGGCTTTAGTAATATATACCCTGGATTAAAATCAAGAGATGATTAAATGCTGTTTGTGTGTTTTTTTATGGATATTGATAGCTTGCTGTGTGTACTGTATCATATCACATTTCGCTCAATCTGTTGCTGGGTAACACTGGAATTGCAAGTTTCGCAGGAGTGATCGCATACAGTGGTCAACTGAAAAGAATGGCTTGTTGGAAATGTTGCTTCTCCTGTGGCCTGCAATCATCTGTGTCGCATGTTGTGAGAGAGCCTCGGAGACTTCATTAAAACAACATAACTGTCAAAGCGCTGATAAGTTTTTGACTGACACCCAAAGAGAAGGTGGCATCACTTTTATGAAGTGACCAACTCACTTGGTAAGTATAAAAGTCCACCACAGATGAAATGAGCGAGTGTTCGCTGGCATGATAATATACTGTGGTGTGCACCTATGTGGACCCTTCAATTAATCAACCTGTCCGCACTTTGTTTTGAGAGTAATCTTGGCCAACCACCCCAGAGGCACTCAGCAATAAGTGCTGTGCTTTGAAGGCCGTTGGTTTACCGTGTGCGTTGTAAAAACACCTCAACTCAAATGCCATACTTCCCTTGCACAAATTTGAACCAGCAGTGAATTGGCTAGCCTGCGCAGATCAAAATGATCTTTTGTCAGGGTTTTGTAGCCCTCATACTCAATTCCAAGAGGAGGCTGTGCCATTAAAATTAAGATTTACAAATTAGGAGCTATGGCTTCATTTGATTGGATGAAACTACATTGGTGTACCTCATAGGTAAGTGTGGTGACGTTTTCTGATCTGGTGGAAGCAAAGAGCTACTCATGTTTGACATCAGTCGGCTCTTTGTATTGATTTAACCAATTTACTTTCTGGAATTATACAAAAAGATCATCCATCTATCCATTTTCAACACCGCTTATTTTGAAGAGGAATTGCTGGAACTGATTCCAGCTGACTTTGGACAAAAGGCAGACTATACCCTGAACTGGTTGCCAGTCAGTCGCAGGGCACGTATAGAGACATGTGACCATTCACACGCACATACACACCTTCACTGAGTGGGAAAGACAGAAGAAGAATAAAAAAGACAATGTTGAAGAAAAAGCAATGACTGGTAGTCATGACAAGTTGATTTTGGTTTGCATAAGGATTTAGGGAGCACTTCCACCAGAGTTGTACCTTTGGCAACAATGTGAGACGGGATTCTGTTAAGGTCAGCAAAACTTTAAAGCCAAAAAAAAACAAAAAACCTTTTTGGTGTTTTAGGAGTCAAAAAAGTGGCAAGTAGCCATCAGCGTGCTCCCACTGTGCTCAACAGTTCAAGAAACTGGCAAATAGGGATAAGCTATGTGAAATGTATGTGAATGTACTGTATGTGTGTGTAAAGCTCTTTGTGTGATGTAGATACCAACATATACAGTGCACTGTATTTACCATTTCAATCAAATTGGATTTTTCATCTGCTGGACAATGATGTTTTTTTTTTTTTTTTTTTTTTTTTTTTTTTATGGATTGACGACTGAGACACTGGTGGACCAGTAGGTTAACTGGTGGAAGCACAGTGAAAATAACAAGACCGTCTGACAGACCGATAATTACAATTTAGTTCTGCTTGAAACAATGACGCACTCACGATGACAGACTGGAGCCGAGACCACAAACGGCGAATGGCGGACCAGCAAAATTTTGTAAACTGCCCACCTCTGATTGCAAGAAAAGTAGCACTGTACTTCACGATGCCAATGATATCACTGGCAACTGGTCGATGTTGACTTCACTTTCATCGCGTTAAAGTTGCCAAAAAAAAGAAAAAGTGTAGTCACGCAAAAGGTACAATAAAATAGGGAGAAAATCTCAAGGTCCCAGTTTTGCCCATTGAACAACACTTTGGCTCATAACGAAAACATGCTTGCTTTCCAATGATATCAATCAAAGATGTTGAGCGTGACGGGGTCAAAGGTTTTTTTTGTCAGCACTCTAATGGCCACATTTCCAATTCTGCAGGCTACAGCAGCCGCAAGAGTAATGGTCATTAGGTATTTCGGTCTTTCCCTGACATTTCGGGGGCCACTGTGTTAAGAAATTATACTGAGGTGACTGCAGGCTTGAACTGGCAATACAGAACACAATTTGCTATTGCAAAGGAAATTAAATTTCAAGCTGGAATGACTGTGTGTGAAGCTGGCTTGAGAAAGTGATTGCTCTTAAAATGGATGACCTCCCGCCTCTCACGACTATGAAGGATTACTGTGGACCATTCTCGAAACATTTGACCAGCATTTGTGAATATCACGTTCATTCTTCGAGGTCATCGAGAATGAATGTTTTCCTCCTGCACTGGCTTTGAAAAGAGCTTCTTACCTCCATCTTAAAGGCAACATACATACAGTACGTGACAGCTCCACTTAACGTGGGAACTTAATTTTCCTTTCAAAGCAAAGGTTGGGAGGTCAAAACACGAAGGACCCCAACATTCAAAATGCCTGTCCTGTATGAAAAACAGGCAAAAAACAATGAAACAAAGGCAAAAGTGATTACACCGAGGGTATAAAAGTACCTCAGATGAAAGAGTACGATCTGACAGATTTGTTCGAAAACCTCAAGTTTCCTTTGAGAAACCATATTTCCAGCCGCAGCCTTACCTGAGTGGCTCCCATTCAACCAAAAACGCTCACAAACTTGGGCCATCGTAATATTCCAATCAAATTCATTTAACGTTGCAAAAATGAATACACAACACTGAAACTCAAGCAAAGCTCCATTTTAGATGATAAAGATTCAAATAAGCTTCATTAAAATTATGAACAATGTTGCTGTTAATGGAAACATGGGGATAAAGCTCTCTTTTCAAGGGTGTGTTGTCATTTATATTGAACACTGTCTGCCAATGCACGCCATACTGGAAAATTGCCTTTCTTGCACCTATCCACCTTATCGATCATGCAGTTGTCATTTTTTTCCTCCTCTAAATAAGACAGCAGGTGTGTAGGGGATTGAAGCCGTCTCTCTTTTTGCGAAGGTGTAAGCACACCTTACTTTTGCGTCATGCATATCACACCTCTGAAATGATCCATTAGCAGGTTACTGCCAGGAAGACCAAGCAATAAACTGACGTGGTACACAGCGGCTGCAGACAGACAGACAGACAGAGAGAGATACACACAGTTGTTATTGTCCCTCGGGGCAAACTTAGGTGTGACTGCATTTAAATCCACTTTTCCTGGTCTCTGACCTTATATCGCTTCCAAAGAAAGACAAAGGGCCCTATTTTCAAGTGTAGCGCTTTGCAGTCTCACTGTACTCATGGGACGAATATTCTTTCTCTTGGTATTTTCTTAAATTTTGCACAGGTAGAATTGGACGTAACTAGCCTCCGTTTTGCGCCATTGTGGGAAGGAATAAGCAGAACCCCGGCGCATTTCATAAGCGCGTGAGAAAGAGGAAGTGGATGAGAACAAGACCATTCAGCTGAACACTGTCCTGCTGTGTTGGTTTATTTTAGCAAAGAAAATATCAGAAATATACATTACTAAAACATAAATCAAAGCCTTCAAAGCCAGCGTAGAACAACTGTTAAGGTTTGCACCGGGGTCCAACGTGTGCGAGATTGAATTAAAGAAAAAATAAAGATGAGGACGAACATGGAGAAAAAGCTAGATTGGAAAAGAGAACTCAGAACTCCTGCACACCCGATTCCACCCTGCGCTGCAGACACTGATGTATAATTTTAATATCTCTAATTTCCACAGCCGCAGCCATTTTCCAAATGTCATTTTCCAATTTGTGTCAAACCGTGTGACCATTTTTCTTAATATAGCTTATGACAAGCTCGGTGGCGAGGCGGATATGCAATTCAGATGGAGCGTTTTACAGGCGCAACAGCAGACACACTGGGGTGTTTGTGTGTTTGTCTTTATCAATGTCAGCTCTCAATGTCATTTGGCCAACAACGGAGCCAAATATGTGCCTTCAGGGAACACAACCATAATTCCGTCATCAATAGAATAATCATCTTTATCCTAATAAGAGAGCGTTACAATGGTGAAATGAAAATGTATTACAATATGCATTGACATGAGAGGCTTGAATTAGAATGAGGGCTGATTTGTAACGTTAATTAAAACAGAACCTGATTTTTAGGTAAATCTTGTTTATAAGACACATGAGGAAGATGTTATAATAGCACATCTCAGATGTTTGATTGTTGATATGCGAATGAGCACCATGTGTGATTACAGTCTCACCTTTGTGTTACACTTTGATGATCCAAAAGTAGATCTCCAGTGATCAATTGGGATCTGCATCTCCCTCTTGTCCTCGAGGAGCTCTGGACCTATTGTCGAGTGGAAAGAGGAGTGGGGTGGGGGAGGGGGGTTAAAATAACAAGAACAAGTTGTTGGAAATGAAATTTCAATTCATCCAGTCTCTTTTCCACATGGTTGCGAGAGGCTGTCGTTGAGAGGGAGGGATCAATAGAGTTTAGACAGCAGGGCAGATTTTCTAAGCGCCAGATCAATAAGAAGGAGAGAGGAAAAAAGACCCCGGCTTTTCTTTGCCTGTTGTAGTAAATACGGACAAATCAGCAGCCTAAGGCTAAATGGATTGATCAGCTGTTTCCGAGTTCTGTGTTGTAAATAAAGATCCATTGAAGTCTGTAACTGAGGCCCATAGGCAAACGTGTGACTATTTGGACCAAGGCTCTCAGACAACACCAATGTGGAGCTTCTACTACTTCTACTTCTATCAATTGTCTACTACCATCCCCACCCCACCCCTAAAATGTTTCAATCTGACTCATGCAAATACGTTCACTTGCATTTGGAAAAAAAAGCATTAAAAAAAAAAAAAATCTAATCCCATTTTCTGGCTGATACACATTTTCTACAGACATGAAATGTGACCTTTTTCCCCCAGTTTATCTACTGGGCCGTGACATAGGCGGCTGTGGCAGATTAAAGCCTCCACCAATATGTCGGGTGATAATCAGAGGCTAAGATCCTGACAGGATGACTGATCACATGCCTGCTTTGCCTCACCTCTGGACTTATTAAAGAACAACACCACAAGGCCATGCTTTCACAAAATGTACTGGTCAACCAAAGTGGAATGTGTGTGGTGAAATTCTTCAAGAAAAGCACAAAGAAAACCTCTGATCATCCTTGTATCCTAGTAAGATGTGCGTGTCTGTCACATGTGAAGGGCAAGAGCTTGCTGGCGGGTTGACAAGCGCAAATAGAAACAGGAGACAAATGTTGTCTTTTACGCTTAGAAAATGTGTCCATGTGTCTGAATTCCTTTCCCTGCTGCTTTGTTTCCCGATACAAAGGTCACGGCTGAATCGGAACATAGAAAAGTGCGCTTGTATTTGGATAGAAGGTCTTTGGACTCGAGCTATAAGCGATATCCTGCATGTGTGACCAGCTTCTCTTAGAATTTTGGATTTGCAAAGGCTGCATACAAAGTAATGCTTCTGTGACATAAAAACATTTCAAAACAATGTGCTGTTGTGATCTACAACTCACTTGAAAAAAAAAAATTTTTTTTTCACCTGTCACCATATAAAAATCCGACTAGAACATCTGAAATTTATTTGGGGTTAATCACAAAGCACTCTAAAATCATGGCAAGTGTGTGCTGATTCTCATTTTACATGAGTTTTAATGTGAGTGGTTGATTCAGAACACAGCCACATCCCCAGTGAAAGCAGGGTGTGCACATTTATGCAAAGCACGTTATGACAGTTTTATTGTGTTTACTGGTGTTATGTTAATATATTGTTTTAACTCTGTTGTTATATGTCTGATTTTACTTTATGTACAACACTTTGGATGCAGCCATGGCTTTTTTGAAAGTGCTCAATAAATAAAGTTCAGGTGAGTTATCTTGGTCCATTTTTTTCCCGACAAAAACCTGGCATTTCAGCAGGGTTGTTTAAACGTTTTATATCCACAGCTGGTTGCTTTGGTGCTAAAATGGCACAACATCGCACAAAACGATCACAAATCATAAAAGACTGCCGAATGCAGTTACCGGACAAAAGTTTAGGGACAGTTGGCTATTACCCTGATGGAAAGTGAATATGATAGAAAATATAAATATGGCCTCTTTTCTGCAGCCCAAACAGCTTGCAGTGTTTAATAATGCACATTTCAGAGAGGACCGGGCTCTGTATTTTATTTCATTCCACATCAAGATCATCCAACCATTAAACCGATTAGCTAATATTTCACAGTGTTAATGTAATGTTTTAGTGTGGGGTAGACATTTATGCTCTTGTACATATATCTCCCATATTAACATGTAATAATAAGCCTCCAGAGGTTACAATGCAACATGACTCGCTGGCTTCTTGAACGCATTACTTTAATAATGCCAGTCCTCCAATATATTTATGCATCACATTTTGAGAAAAAAAGCAGCAATAATATCTATTAAAATGCTGAAATGTCTCCAGCAACTATTTACAGAAGCAATAGCTATTAAAAAAAAAAAAAAGGTGGTAGCCTGAAGTAAGACTGACAGCCTCTGCTCGCTTCCTCCACCAAACACAATGACAAAGTCGTCACATAGGAGTGGTCATTAAAAATTTAGATTACAGCTTCCCCCTCCTGCCTGTGCGAAAAATTGTCAGTCTCTGTTTGTTAATAGCATTGTTTTTCTTTCAATATTAACATGCTGGCGGTGACAGATCGTGCGCGAGCTACCTGCTTGCGTATGTGATCAAACCTCATTTACTGACTGGGAGATTGAATGAAAGCTTGTGATCATTAACAACATGTCTGCCTATAAAATGAGCGCTGAATGTTTGCTACCAACACATTTCATCTCCTGGTACATCTCACTCGAAGCTGCTCTTTTCTGTTGTCTTTCAGTCAACCCATATACATTTAAAGCAAGAATATGATGGAATATTCCTTTCAAAGTCTTGATATCGTCTTGGTGTTAGCACATCTTGGCTCATGTTACATTTATGCTATGAAATTTGTTGTATACAAAAAAAAAAAAGATCTGGCTTATGGATACATTTCTAATGACAATATGAGATCAATGTAAACCATAATAAACAGTTGTAGAAAGACCAGTTTAACAGTCACTGTTGGCTTACTATTTGGCTAGTCTAAGATAAAAGTCATTGTAAGCTAGGTTAGCATGATTTTTTTTTTTAAGCATAATAGCATGATTCCCCAAGTCATTTTTAACTACAGTCAAAATGGCATACTAAAAAGTGTGCTTCCAGAAAAAACATTGTTTCTTTATGCCTAACGATTTGTGACAAGTAAAATGAAGTCTTCTTTTAATTACTTATTTAAATGGCATATTAGTAGCACTACATGTTGGATAACTACAGTATTTGCCAAACACGAGGTCACTCTCTCTGCTATCTAATTAGGCTTATTAAGCCCAAACAACATATTTACACATGAATTAAAAGGCAATTGACAGTATAACGTCTGGTTGACCTCTACGTTGTTCATAAAAGGAAATAGAATGAAATCTGTTTGCGGGTCAAGCTGTTACCATCATGAAACCTTAATTAAATGTACAAGCAATGATTTTACTGTCATTTAACATTTTTAACTAACTTTGCTACTCTCTGTATAATATTATGACTTGTAAAAAAAAAAAAAAAAAAAAAAAAAAATAAACCACAACGCCTAAAAAAGGATAGCTTTATTTTCAGGTGGTACTATACATTTATCAGCTCAACTTTTTGCCCATAGTATAGGGGTTTAAAAGTATATTTTTAAAAATTTGAATAGCAATTTAATTCACAACTACATTCCAAAATGTTGTTACTTTCGTCTTGATGGAGCACCTTGGAAAAACATTTTCTGACATTTTCCTAATAAAATATTAAAACAGCCTCTACTCTCATACCACAGTCTGATGATCGGCACATCTCAAAGAGTGCTTCTTAATGTGGTCAAGTCCCCACAGACTATCTGTTCCATATCGCCTCTCTCCCCAATGTTTTTGAGGTATTTGGGGTATTCTTGGGAGGAGAGATGAGCTATTGAGAGTGTTTACGTTCCTGACTTGTAGAGAGCCTTCTAATATGTAACACAGCGCACTTTGGTATTCAGGTGCCTGGGGCTATTCTCTAAGTGGTCTTTACTTTGAAAACACAGGAGCCCTCCAGGGGGCGACGAGCAGTGGTTGTGTGCTTGTGAGCGTACGCATGAGGAGGTGGTAATATGGGAGGGAAGATAAAGGAGGTGAACCGTCAGAATAACACATCCATAAACTATCAGTCCGCCTCGCACCGTGATAGGGATTGGGGGGTTTTACGGAATCCATTGAGGATTTGTCTGTAATAATACATTCATCTAATGCATATGAGGGGGAATTGACATGGACTCAGTGGGGGAAAATGATTCAAGGCTCAGTATTGTCACTGGGTCACAACACGGATTCACATATGATCACATATGATAGATGAGTACATTGCTCTAACTTTTTGAACAAAATGGTCTGATGGCCAGTGGCGGCATTGGCTGCGAGTCAATACAGGGCACTCGGGCGCCGCCATACTGCTGAGATGAGTCACCTTGAATAAGACAAAAAAAGTGGTCTGAATAAGACCCAAAAAAAAGTGGTATAGGAAATGGACAGATGGAAATGAATCCCCTGTAAAAATATTACACATATCTGTTTATGCTGTCCACGTCCATCTTAAAAACCTACCCTGCTGCTGCTTTGATAAAGACTCAAGGTCAACCTCCAGATTTTCTTCAATAATTTTTTTCGCAATCCCAACTTTGGCAATCAGATCATGATGTAGTCTACTCTGCAATTCCCATCCCTAATTACATGTCCCATGTCCTCTCATTGCTTGTTCTCAATGCTTCTAAAAGGAGAACATCAATGGAAATAGAGGAAGAGCACATATTAAAATATCTTTGGCAATGTCACCATTTTTGTAGCTCTAATTAATCAAGAGTTCAACAGACACGGCACAGGCACAAGAGTAGAGATGAGAGGGTGACCCAATTAAAATCAACTTGAAACTCCGACTCACTCATTAAAGTAACTCTTGCACACAATGAGCAAGAATACAAGGAGAACAAGCTTCATCAGTACCTGAAAAAGATTCGCTGCGTTAATATTCCACACTGATGGAAGCAGTCACCCCCTTCCAATTCCTTTGTGCTTATCTGCCGGTGTTTGGTTCATTTATATTGTGTCTTATAATAACCATCATATTTTTTCCCCCTACAGATATGCAGATAGGACCAGAGACAATTACCAGTGTGACAGGTAAAACGGGGATGGGGGGGGGGGGGGGGGGGGGGTAAAGTTTGAAAAGGTGCCCATGTTGTTGATCCATCCACAGACTCAGCTTGAATGTTTCTCTTGCTGTGACCAAGCAGTTTGTTCAACTTTGGCCATTTGCTCACCATTTGGACAAGGGGATGCTTAACAAACAAAACTCTAAATTAAGTGAAAACACTGAACAAAATTGGGATTATGCTACATTCGAATCAAAGTCGACTCAGTGCAAAACCCGTGAACTGTAGTATGGCAGGGTTTGGT